CTGGGTTCAGTTCTGGGCCCCTCACTACAGGAAGGACACTGAAGTGCTGGAGCGTGTCCAGAGGAGAGCCACCAAGCTGGGGAGGGGTCTGGAGAACAAGTCACACGAGGAGAGGCTGAGGGAACTGGGCATGTTTAGTTTGGAGAAGAGGAGGCTGAGGGGAGACCTCATCGCCCTCTACAACTCCCTGAAAGGAGGGTGTAGAGAGGTGGGGGTTGGCCTCTTCTCCCAAGGGAATAAGGACAGGAGCAGAGGAAATGGTCTGAAGTTGGGGCAGGGGAGGCTTAGATGAGATATTGGGAAGAATGACTTTAGTGAGAGGGTGGTCAGGCCCTGGAACAGCCTGCCCAGGGAGGTGGTGGAGTCACCATCCCTGGAGGGATTTAAGTAACGTGTAGAGGTGGGACTTCAGGGCACGCTCTAGTGCCCATGAGTGTTGGGATGGAGGGTTTTGGGGATTTTTTTTGTGTGTGTATGGTTGGACTCGATGATCTCAAAGGTCTCTTCCAACCATGAAGATTCTGTGATTCTGTGGTATGATTTAACACACTTTAAATCTCTCTGCTGCATCCAGACACAGCAGGCCCGCAAAGGGCCATGCGCCCAGAGGCGACTGCCACCCTCTGAGGTGACAGGGGGTACTCTGCTGAGCAGACCTCTCAGGAGGCCATGCTTATCTCATGAACCGATGGCACCTGTTCACTTCACAATGCTTCAATTAAAGTCGGACAAGCCTTTGAGTCTGATTGCTCACTCCTCCTTCCCAACTACACAATATTCCAGTGGAGGTTTTGGTGTGCTCACTCTCTACAAATACTTGAAACTCTCTACAACTGCCTGAAAGGACACTGTAGAGAGGTTGGTGCTGGTCTCTTCTCACAGGTAATTAGTGATAGAACAAGAGGGAATGGCTTCAAGCTGCAACATGGTAGGTTGAGACTGAACATTAGGAAACAATTCTTCACAGAAAGAGTGGTCGGAGACTGGAATAGGCTGCCCAGGGAGGGGGTTGAGTCACCATACCTGTATGTGTTTAAGGGACATTTAGATGTGGTGTTGGGGGATATGGTGTAGGGGAGGACTTTGTACAGTGGGGTAGATGGTTGGACTCGATGATCCCAAGGGTCTTTTCCAACCTGAATGATTCTATGATTCTATGGTTCTATGACTTCAGGAAGTACATGGACCTGTTGGAGCTGGTCTAGAGAAAGGCCACGAAGATGCTCAGAGGGCTGGAGCACCTCTCCTATGAGGACAGGCTGAGAGAGCTGGGGTTGTTCAGCCTGGAGAAGAGAAGGCTCCGGGGAGACCTTAGAGCACCTTCCAATACCTGAAGGGGCTACAGGAGAGCTGGGGAGGGACTCTTTGTCAGGAAGTGCAGTGACAGGACAAGGGGAAATGGTTTTAAATTGGAAAAGGGGAGATTTAGATTAGATACCAGAAATTCTTTGCTGTGAGGGTGGTGAGACCTGGAAGAGGTTGCCCAGAGAAGCTGTGGCTGCCCCATCCCTGGAGGGGTTCAAGGCCAGGCTGGATGGGGCTTGGAGCAACCTGGTCTGGTGGGAGGTGTCCCAGCCAAGGGCTGGGGGTTTGGAACTGGATGACCTTTAAGGTCCCTTCCAACTCTAACCATTCCATGATTCTATGTCGTTATGCAAAGGAGTTTGGCTTCTGTGTAGCCAAAACTAGAGGGGAAGGCATCTAAAGGCTGCAAAGTGAAGATGTTCAGGTTTTATATTCACGCTTGGAAGGCTAAGGATGGAGAAAATGTGCATTTGGCAGCGTCGTTTTTATATTCATCCAGCTCTTACTGCAGGGATGAGCCTATTTTGAACTGAGAAAGCAGCTCTTGGATGCTGCCAAAGCTTTCAAGCATCCCTTTACACCATGGCGTAATAGCTGGGTGCCATTTTAAACTGCATTTTTCAGACATTTTAAAATTGGAATATTTCACCTGTGACATTTTGAAGCTACATCACTTTTCTTAGGAAAAGAGTTAAAAAAGGAAAGAGCCTGAAAGGAGAAAAAAAAAAAAAAAAGCCCCACACTCTGTTCTGCCCAGTGCTTTGGATTTTCATTTTGCGCAGAGAAAAACAAGGCATTTTCATTGGCCCTTTTTAACTCTATTGGCCATATTTCAAGGTGGATTTTTTTTGTGCAGCCAGGAAAAAAAAAAAAGGAAAAAAAAGCTGCCTTTTGCTGGATGACCTGGCAGGGCAGGGTGAGGTTTGGGTTTATAAATACCGAGTTGGTGGCGATTGCAGGTTGGTGTTAGAGGGAAAGCTGCCCGTGCGAGCACGTGTGTGTGTGCAGCCCCCATCACACGCCGTTCACACCAGGGGATGCTTGCACACCCAAATTTACACGACTCTAAGGCATTAGGGTGCAGGCTCAGGTGACTGGACATTTGGCATCCAAAAACCATACCCGTGTGCCAGTTTTTCATGTGTTTCCAGTAAATTGATAAGGGCAGGCTTCAGATTTCACCTGGCAAAACCCATTTTTATTATTGCAGGCTCTGGGTGTTGAGGTGAGGGGGTTTTTTAATCTATTTAGATACCACTTGATGCTATCTCCGTGGGATTTTGTTTTAAAATTGTTTTATTGTTTAAACCTTAAATTGTTTTAAAATTTAAAAATACCTGCATTTTGTTCTTAAATTAACCATCCAGAGAGCTTCATTTGAAGGAAGGCAGGTTGCGTTGGCTTCTTAGGCAATTCAGTTAAAATAATTCTCTCTCGGCGAAGAGTCTCATATAAAATCTCTGAGTTTTGGAAGGAAGGAAGGAAGGAAGGAGGGAGGGGAAGGTAAAGGCTTGTTAGCTCAGGATGGAGGGCAGCACCAGGAGAGGGTGTAGAGCCATGACTGCTGGTCATCCTTCCAGCCATGGGGAGCACATTGTCTTAGAAAAACTCATCTTTTACAGGCACTGGGGTCAGGATCCCCTAGAAAATCACCCCAAGCAGGAGAGCTGCTCCCCAGCTGCTGGAGTGGTGCTTCCCAGGGCACCCTCAGCTCCACGCAAGGAGGCTCTTGTGGCACCAGCCACCACAAAATGTTCCCCTGCAGCCAAAAGAGCTGCTATTCATCCCTGGTTCTCCCCACCCAAAGGTTTTCCATGGAAGGACTAGTATCAGCAGTACAATGCGGGCAAAAGTCCTGCTTACTGCGAAGGAGTTTCCTCCTTTACAGTAAAAGAGTATTTAAAAGTTTCCTGTCCCTTCTGGGAGGTGGAGGGGGACGATGTAATCTGCAGGCAGTTTCATTGTTTATTGCACATTTTCCGGTCACCGGCTGCAACAGGAACCCCCGGAGCACGATGCCCCTCATGGGCCCCTGTGCCCAGCCCAGCAGCCACGGGCACCGGGGAACTTTTATCTCACCACAGCAGGTCCAAGCATCATCTTCCCCCCCTGGTAAAACACAGAATCACACAGAATCACTGAATCTTCTAGGTTGGAAGGGACCTTAAAGATCATCTTGTCCAACCGTCAACCTAACTGACAAAAATAAACACCCGCACAACAAACAAGGAGCATCACCATCACTAAACCAGACCTCCCAGCACTACATCAACCCGTCTTTTGAACACCTCCAGGGATGGTGCCTCAACCGCCTCCCTGGGCAGCCCATTCCAATGGCTGATAACCCTTTTGGTGAAAAAATTTTTCCTAATATCCAGCCTGACCCTCCCCTGGTGTAACTTGAGGCCATTTCCTCTTGTCCTGTCGCCTGTGACTTGAGAAAAGAGACCGCCCCCCACCTCTCTACACCCTCCTTTCAGGGAGTTGGAGAGAGCAATAAGGTCCCCCCTCAGCCTCCTCTTCTCCAGGCTGAACACCCCCAGCTCCCTCAGCCTCTCCTCATAAGACTTATTCTCCAGACCCCTCACCAGCTTTGTCGCCCTTCTCTGGACCCGCTCCAGCACCTCAATGTCTTTTTTGTGGTAGGGGGCCCAAAACTGGACACAGTACTCAAGGTGAGGCCTCACCAGTGCCGAGTACAGGGGGACAATCACCTCTCGGGCCCTACTCGCCACGCTGTTCCTGATACAGGCCAGGATGCTGTTGGCCTTCTTGGCCACCTCCCAGCCATGGGGGAGGAAGGGGAGCAGTGTGAGGAGATGGGGTGCCCCCCTCCCGGTGCCCACAGTTCCTGCAGCTCTGCGTCCCAGCCCTCTTTGTGCTTCTCCACGTCCACACTATTTAAGCTGGGATGTCATAGCCCAAACATCTTTGCCAGCTGCACGATTAACTATGGTCATATATTTAAGTACCAAGAGGAAAAGTGCACCTGCTTTCCCATGCACGTCCAGCCTGTTCTCAGTAATATAATATATGCATTTCTCTATATTCCCACCGGTGTGGGCAGAACCCGCTCCTCAGACAAATGAGCTCATTCAGCCAGCTCACAGCTCCACCCCGAATTCCCAAAACCTCCATGACCCCACTGGGTGCTGTGACTTGGGAGCATGAGATGTGGACAACTGAGAAAAAGGTCCTCTGCTCCCTCACTTGGTGGCCCAGTCCAGGAGGGAGGGATGGAGCAGAGGGTGAGGGCTGCACCACCACAAAGCCCCCAGCCCCACAAGTAACTAGAAGTGGTCCTCCCTGCCCCACACCTGAGATGTCGCTGAGCTGAGCTGCTGCTGGTGATTGCTGGGCACAAAGGTGTCCTTGATCCCTCTCACACCAAAAAAAAACCAAAATAACCATCCAAACAATAAAAAAACAAACAAACAAACAAAAAACCAAAAACCAAAAAACCAAAAAACAAAAAAACCCCACAACCCAAACCCCCCAAAACAAAAAAAATAAAGAGTTGCTTAAGAAAAACCCAAACAACAAAACAAAACCAACCAAAAAACCCTAAAGCAAACTACCAAAAAGATGAAAAAAACCACCCTCTGCTCCTTCTTATTGATTGACTGCAGCATCCCTCCCGCCGCAGTGCCCGCAGCGCCGGCGCCGGCCCGCAACACCGGCCGGGGCGGCGGGGAGGAAAAGGGGGGGGCTCGGGGGCGCCGGTACCACCCCGGAGGATGGGGGTCTTCCCCACCAGGAGAAGAAGGCTGCGCACCTAAGAGAGGAGGGGGACGGGTACGTCTGCGGCTTTATTTTCAACCGGCATGCAGAGCGCGTTAATCACAAACTTGGGTTATTTTGATGTGTTTATTTTTAATGGGAAAGCTGATTTTCGTGGCATAGTGGGGGGAGGGTGGTGGGGAAGCCTGTACTGCCATCCGGCAAGCTCCTCTGTCTTTCACTTTAAAAGGTACGGATCCTCCTGGTCATCTGATCCAGGTCAAGAAGGACTTTGCGTTGCCCACAGCCCGTGGAACCCACCAGAGCATCATCTCCCCAGGGCCTGCTGCCGCCCCCCAGGAGGGAGGCTCTTTCAATCCCTGGAGGATTGAGAGGTAAAATATCTCCAGCTCGCGTTTCTCCTTCTGTTCGCTTTTCCAGCAGGGGTTAATGAAACCGTTGAGATTCGTAGAGCTTTATTAAGGTGGTATTGGTTCCCAGGCCGTGCCACTGGGTCGCTGCTGTGCCCCCCCTGAGAAAATAAAGAGTTGCTTAAGAAAAACCCAAACAACAAAACAAAACCAACCAAAAAACCCTAAAGCAAACTACCAAAAAGATGAAAAAAACCACCCTCTGCTCCTTCTTATTGATTGCATCATGAAATTGAATGTAGTCTTCCATTTGGGGTGAGACTGTGGGTGCATAACCGGGTTTTGGGCCAGGCTTGGGCTGGTCCTCACCCCACCGCTTGCCCATCCCCAGGTTTTGGGGTCCGGTGCTGCGGGATGCTCCTCTCCTGCCAAGGAAGGGGGGTGGGGGGGGGCCGCCATCCAACCGGGGGTCCCTGCCTGTATCCCCCTCCTCGCACCGGGCTCGGGGAGGGGGGGGTGGGTATTGCGGGGAAGCGGGGATGCGCGGAAGGGATGCGGGAGCGAGCGCGGAGCGCCGCGTGTGGGGGGGGCGGGGGTCCCAGCCCATCCCATCCCATCCCGTCCCGTCCCTCCCGCCCCGCCGCGGTGCCCGGACTGCAGCATCCCTCCCGCCGCAGTGCCCGCAGCGCCGGCGCCGGCCCGCAACACCGGCCGGGGCGGCGGGGAGGAAAAGGGGGGGGCTCGGGGGCGCCGGTACCACCCCGGAGGATGGGGGTCTTCCCCACCAGGAGAAGAAGGCTGCGCACCTAAGAGAGGAGGGGGACGGGTACGTCTGCGGCTTTATTTTCAACCGGCATGCAGAGCGCGTTAATCACAAACTTGGGTTATTTTGATGTGTTTATTTTTAATGGGAAAGCTGATTTTCGTGGCATAGTGGGGGGAGGGTGGTGGGGAAGCCTGTACTGCCATCCGGCAAGCTCCTCTGTCTTTCACTTTAAAAGGTACGGATCCTCCTGGTCATCTGATCCAGGTCAAGAAGGACTTTGCGTTGCCCACAGCCCGTGGAACCCACCAGAGCATCATCTCCCCAGGGCCTGCTGCCGCCCCCCAGGAGGGAGGCTCTTTCAATCCCTGGAGGATTGAGAGGTAAAATATCTCCAGCTCGCGTTTCTCCTTCTGTTCGCTTTTCCAGCAGGGGTTAATGAAACCGTTGAGATTCGTAGAGCTTTATTAAGGTGGTATTGGTTCCCAGGCCGTGCCACTGGGTCGCTGCTGTGCCCCCCCTGAGCACACCCCACCCCTGCAACCCCTAAGACCCCCAGATGGCCAGGATGCTCTGGCCTGGAGTGTGATGCTGCTGCCCTGAGGACTGACACGAAGGTGCCCAGCAGGATGGAGGGAGCAGGGGGGGCCACCACCGGAGCTGCCCAAGTGGCCGTGACCCAGGGGGGAAGGCAGGGGAGCATGCTTTGCCTCTGCCACACACCACAGCTCTCACCCCCTTCTCTCTCTGCCCGTGCCCTGCCTGCAGGCTGGCCCCCCCGTCCCCAGCAGTCCATGGACCACCACCCAGCATGAGCGCCGACACCGAGCAGCTCCCGGCAGGGGCTCAAGCAGCCAGCGTGCCCCTCTGGACCGTATCCAGCTGGGCCGCTTCCGAGGTGCCCCCCAACACCAGTGCAGCTGCAGGGGGGGCTGGCCGGCAGCAGGGGCAGGCGGAGTGGGGCAGCAAGCCGGGGGAGATCGTGGGCATGGTGGTGATCCAGTGTATCTACGCCCTGGTGTGCCTGCTGGGGCTGCTGGGCAACTCCCTGGTGATCTTCGTCATCCTGCGCTACGCCAAGATGAAGACAGCCACCAACATCTACCTGCTCAACCTGGCCATTGCTGACGAACTCTTCATGCTCAGCATCCCCTTTGTGGCCACCTCAGCAGCCCTGCACCACTGGCCCTTTGGCCGGGCCCTGTGCCGCACCGTGCTGGGCGTTGACGGGCTAAACATGTTCACCAGCGTCTTCTGCTTGACCGTCCTCAGCCTGGACCGCTACATCGCCGTGGTGCACCCGCTACGGGCAGCCACCTACCGCCGTCCTCGGGTGGCCAAGATGGTCAACGGAGGCGTGTGGCTCCTCTCCTTGTTGGTGGCTTCGCCCATCCCCATCTTCGCCGGTACGGCAACCACCCGCGACGGCCAAGCAGTGGCCTGCAACCTCCTGTGGCCAAGCCCGGCCTGGTCAGCCGCCTTTGTGGTCTACACCACCTTGCTGGGCTTCCTGCTGCCGGTGCTGGCCATGGGGCTGTGCTACCTGCTGATCGTGGGCAAGATGCGGGCAGTGGCCCAGCGGGTGGGCTGGCAGCAACGCCGGCGCTCTGAGGGCAAGCTGACCCGCTTGGTGCTGATGGTGGTGGCCATGTTTGTGGTCTGCTGGATGCCCTTCTACGTGGTGCAGCTGGTCAACCTCCTACTGCCCGGACGCCTGGATGCCACCATCAACAACGCCTCCCTCATCCTCAGCTACTCCAACAGCTGCGCCAACCCCATCCTCTACGGCTTCCTCTCCGAAAATTTCCGGCACTCCTTCCACGGCGTCCTGCGCCGCTGCCTCGATGCCAGCCTCTGCTGCTGCCAGGCTGGGGAGGGGGCCAGGGAGGAGGAGGAGGAGGAGGAAGAGCCCCTCGACTACTGCGCCACTCCCCGGGGGGACGACAAGGGCAAGGGCTGCATGTGCCCACCCCTGTCCTGCCAGCAGGAGCCTGTGCACCCCGAGCCCTGCTGTAAGCCCGGACCCCTCCTCACAAAGACCACCACCTTCTAGGGTGCCCCCACACCTCACCAGCCCCTGCACAGGCATCTCCACCAAGGCATGGGCAAAGGGGACCCCGGCCGGAGAGAGGGCAAACAAAGTCCCCATGCCACCGGTCCCCACTTGTGCTGTGCAGTTCAACAAAATAAAAAGCCATAAGACTGGCCCCGTGATACAGTTAATTAAGTCGACTGAGTAATTTTTGCTGTTACCTTCGGCAGCAAGGAGCCTTCCCTGGGATCGGGGATGGTGAGGATTCCCAAAGGTGTTAGTGACCAGTGACCAGCCACGGGGCACGTGCCCCTCCGGAACAAGAAACCACAAACCTCCTGTTCCTTCCCGAGACTTGCTCTGAAAGATGGAGAACAGTCCCAAAAATCCATCAGCCCCGCTGCCTCCAGCAGAGTGAGGGGGTAGGGCTGGACTGGACTTCTACATCAGCTCTGCAGGGCGTGGAGAGCACAGGATCAATTTGAGCCCTTTGGTATTCCTCTTATGTTAAAAAAAAAAAAAAAAAAAAAAAAAAAAAAAAAAAAAAAAGAAAAAGAAAAGAAAAAAAAAGAGGGGATGTTTGTGAACAGCTGAGATCAGAGCCTGAGAGTACGCAAACTAAACCTTGGTAGGTGGTGCCAGGGAGTCAGCTAATGGAGAAAGGAGAAAACTTCGGTCCCACCAAGAAACCCCAAATTCCCAGGCAAAGGGATTTTAGCACACACACACGAACAAAAAGATACTTTTCACAAGAAAACCCAGGAGAACCAAATCTCACTCTCTTTGCCACACGTAAACAACCAACGGTTCCATAGAAACTTGAGCTGAAGAACAGCACTGGGGCTATACCAGCTGGGCCACGCTGAGGTAGCGTTAAAATAGCCATTTCCAGCTTATTTCATTTTAACTTTGTCCTTTTCATGTTATTCTTCTTCTCCATTATTTATGGCTCATTCCTTCTATTTTAATCACACTGGTGAAAAAACCAGCAGGGCAATGTTTCCAGCCTGACGCGCTGCTAAGAGCCCCAGCTCCTTCTTTTTTTTTTTTGTTGCTCCAGCATGGTTTGTGAGTTCTGGAGCTTCGGCTGCTGGGCTGGTGCTCAGTGAGGAAAAACCAGTCATTTTTAGGGAGGGGGAGAAAGAATATTTCATTAGCAGCCTTCTATAAACCAGACTGTAAAAGCTTTATTGGTCTTACACACAAAATCACCATGTGATTGTGCACTGCATAGGGTATATTTCCAATAAATAAATAAGTATTTACAAATGTGCTGGGTGTATAAAACAGTGGGTTGAACCATTTACATTCGGAAAGCTACAAAAACTGAGATTTCTGCCGATGAGGCAGACAGGGATGGAGGAACAAAGCAGCAAAGCTCCGACCACAAGATCTTTGCTCCTTCTTCCGTCACCCACCAGTTTTTAAAAAACTGAACAGAGCTCAGACAAAGGCAGGAGCATCCCAGCTCCTCACCATCCCGGGAAAACCATCATCTCCAGCCCGGCAGCGTGCTCCCCAGCCGAGGAGAGGGGAAACTGAGGCCAGGTCACCTTCCCTGCTCCCTGACGACTTGGCAAGCAGTGGAACACACGCTTTGGCCCCACATTGATGTGGATTTAAACAGTCGGTTCCCGAGGGAGACACTCCTCCTGTGACATACGTGTGACTTTTCCTGGGAGCCCCCCCAAGCTGCTGGCTCGGGCAAAGGAAAGCTGAACCCCCTCCTCTGCCTGCGAAGGGAGCAGGATGGGAGAGGCGCTCCGTGCCCTCCACCTTCCCTGCTCTCTGGCCTGAAGAATTGCAAGAGCCAGCCGGGAAGCAGCGAGCGTTTTTGGAAGCGGGGGTGATCACAGCTTTTCCCAAATTCTCTCTATCATTACAAAATTGGCAGCACGGGGGAAACTCAGTGTTACCCAGTTCCGTCCACTTCCCCCTCTCCATCCATCCATCCCAGCCTCCCTACAGTTTCTGGCCGGAGGTGGCACACCCTGAGGGGACCGGCTGAAGTCCCATCTCCTTTTCGTGGGGGCCGCTGCACTTGTAATTCATGGTGGCAGGGGGCCTGCAGCGCTTCTTCACCAGGTAGTACCCCAGGGCCAGGAGGACCACGGCCGCAGAGAGGACGCCCATGGCGATGCCCACCAGCGCGCAGGGGTGGAGGTGCTCTACCTTTGGCGGGGCCGGGCTTGGGGTGGGAGTCTGGGGTCCCGGCCCGAAATCCCCCGAGAAGGCTCCCTCCCCATCCTCCTCGGGGATTTTGACGCAGTTGTTCTGGTCGAGGAGCCGGTAGCCGTCGAGGCAGCGGCACTCGTAGCCGCCGGGGCGGTTGGTGCAGTTGTGCTGGCAGTAGTTCATCTCGCACTCGTCGATGTCCACGCAGACCCCCCCGCCGCCGTCGGCGTCCTCGTCCAGCAGGAAGCCCTCGGGGCACTCGCAGGACATGGTGTGCGCGTCGCACTGGGCCGGGCACTGGCTGCGGTTGCAGTGCAGCACGCAGCGGTCGGGCGCCTCGGGGTCCACGGCGTAGCCCAGGAAGCAGCCGCAGCGGTACCCGTCGGGCACGTCCTCGCACTGCTGTTCGCAGGGCGCCTCGTAGCAGTGGGGCCGGCAGTGTCCCTCCACCATCTGGTAGCCGCTGTGGCAGTGGCACTCGAAGCCCCCCTCGGTGTTGACGCAGACCTGCTCGCACAGCCTGGGCACCACGGCGCAGTCATCGTCATCCTCGCAGCTGGTGCCGTCGGCGGCCAGCCGGTAGCCCGGCTCGCACATGCAGACGAAATCGGCACCGGCCACGATGCAGTGATGCTGGCAGGGCGCTCCGGCGCAGGGAGAGCTGCAGCTGCGGCCGTCGGGAGCCAGCACCTTGCCGTCGGGGCAGGAGCAGCGCGGCCGCCCCCCCTCCTCCTCGCACAACCCCTCGCAGCCCCCGTTATCCAGGCGGCAGGGCCAGGCTCCCGGGACGGCGCGGCCCCAGCGCAGCCTCCCGCCCTCCTCCACCTCGTCGCAGCGCAGCTCCAGCCCCATGGCCGGTACGACGGCGGCGCTGCGGGGCGGCAGGGCCAGGAAATCCGCTCCGCGGGCGCCGAAGGGGGTGGCGTAGGTGACGGGGAGCCCCTCGGCGGGGGGCAGGCGCGGGCAGCTCCCCCCGTAGTTGTACTCGCAGAGGAAGCCGTCGGCCGGCTCCTGGCAGCTCCGCTCCTCCCAGCGCAGCTCCCGCGACACGGTCACGCAGCGCTCCCCGCACCGCCGCCCCGACGGCGCCCAGTTGGAGTAGTCGGTGCGGCGGTCGCCCGTCACCCACTGGAAGCCTCGGAGGCGCTGGGCCGGGTCGGTGCAGGGCGAGGGGAGGCGCAGCCCCAGCCACAGCCTCCCGCTGCGGTTCTGCAGCAGCACGGCGATGGCGTCCTCCGCCACGGTGGAGCGGACGGTCATCAGGTGCCCGCCGCCCCCCTCGCACACCGCGCTGGCCTCCGCGAAGGGCCGCGCCGCCCAGAAGACCCCGAAGCAGTCGTTCTCCAGGCACTGCGCGCCCGAGGGGGCGGCCGGCTCCGGTTCCCCCCCGAGCCCCAGCCCCAGCCCGGCCAGCAGCAGCGGCAGCGGCAGCGGG